ATCCACCCTATCGATGGTGTCGAGGAAGATCTCTTCCTGCCGGTGCTCCTGCTGCTCCCCAGCGCTCCGCCTGTCCGCACTGCGAAGCCACTCCGGCAGCGAGCGCAAGGACTCCTCGTGCTTGACCAAGCGGAGCTTTCGGTGTGGGAGTCCCTCGCGCAACAACGGGCTCAAGGCCTTCTTCAGCTTCGTCAGGAACTGACCATCTGGAACGAGGAGCGCAAGCCTCTTGTGCAAGCTCACGCCCGAATACACGCTGTCGACATGAAGGATGGCATCCATCACACGCTGGGCGTAGTGCTTCATCCGCTCATCCTCGTCCTTGGAGGCGTTAAAGATGAATGACTTCACTGGCGGGCCCTCGGTGCCCACAGGCACAGCAGCTTCGGCGTTGACTTGGAACGAGGCAGCGCCCAGGACGATTTGCTTCGTGCTCCGGACTACTTCCGTCAGCTGCACCTCCTCCATCTCTGGAAACGTGGCGGTCACGGCCGAAGACTGGGCGTTGTCGGACAGCAGCAGCCTTTTGCTGCCATGCAGATCGTCAAGAATGCCGCGGTCGACGCCGTCCTGATACATGTTGTGACTCTCGTCAATGACAAGGAGATCGAACTTGCTATTCTTGTCGTGGGTCATGACAACTGCTTCAAACTCGATGTCCCCTTCTTGCAGCACGGGCATACGAAGCCGGAGGAGATTCTTGTATGGCTTGAAAAGCACAACCAACGCAGACAGAAGTTCCAAATCCTTCTTCTGAGACCGGATGCGCACGGCCAGCCACTGGACGAAGTAGTAGATCAGCTCGACGGTGGCGGCTACATACAGGACGCGAGGAGCTGGCTCATCAGCCCCAGGATTCAGAGCATCGATCACTCGCTCCACAGCCACGAAGGTCTTGCCGGCACCGGCAGGAGCCGACAAGTGCACCATGTCCGAGCCTCTGATAACACTAAGACGCTCTCTCTGGTGACACGTCAGCTTGTCAAGGGCCCGGAGGCTGGCGTCGTACATTTCCACAAAGTGGGATTTGCTGACTTCCACCTCCCAGCGGGGATCTGCCAGATGCGCGTTGATGTCTCGCTCGAGGTCGTCATTGAGGATTCGATTTCTGAGTTTGTGCAGGGTTCCGATGGACTTGATGTGCAGCTTGGCTCTCAGGGCCACAAGATCTGGGCGAAGCCGATGGGTGCCGATGTCGAGCACGTCGATGTGCGGAAGGCACTCCATGAGGATCCCACGCAGTTTTGCATCACCTCAGCGCGCACAGCATCATTCCACCAGTCAGTGATGAGCTTTTGTCGGGGAAGCTGAGAATTAAGACGTTTGGCTTCAAACGGGCTGCCGTGCTGTCTCCAAAAGCTCCTGAGGTTCCGACCGAAACAATCCAGCTGGGCTTTCATGGTCGCAAAGGTACTGCAAACGCACGAGGAGTCGAAGATCTGCCCGGTAAGCTGACATCGCAGAGTCCATCGCACCACAGCATCAAAACCGTCCCCCTGCTCGGTGACCACAACATCCTGCTCCTCGACGGTTCCTCTCCGCCAGGACTTTGTCGCCTCGCACCAGGCGTCGACCAAAACCCCTCGTGGAAACTGATCCTCCAGCACATCGAAGACGTCCACCTCCTCGTAGCTCCAGCCCATCTCCTTGGCCTTTGCCATCTCCATCTCCTGGGTCGCGCCCAGCCGCCCGGGAGGGAGGGCCACCTTCAAGCGCTGACCGTTCTCGACGGCCTCTTGAACCTTCTCGAGCCACTTGCCTTGCCAACCACGTTCCCCTTCTCCACCGCCGTCTTTCTCGTGACCTCTCACAAGCGGTTTTGACGCACTCCGCCACTCGCTGCAAGGCAACACACATCTCTAACTCGTTTCACATTCGATCGAGTGTGCGCGCGTAAGGTGCAAGCAAGAATAAGCAAGAAACATGCAGAGCCTGCGCATATCAAACCTGGCTGGGTGCCTGCGGATAGCAAACCTGGCTGGGTGCTTATCCTGCGCATGCCAGGGGCAGGGGTGCCATGTAAAGCCTTGCAGGTCTCAGCCTGGAGACTCCAGCACCCCCGGCCCCTGAATCCCTCTCATCCCTCTCCTCCTGCGAGACCCAGAGCCGGAATCGAAGCATCGAGAGCTCCAGCTCCGCTTTCTGAGGCTCTGGGTGAGAAAACACGGCGATTGTGTGAGAAACGCGGCGCAGAGCCACTCAACGCCCCACAACACCCGCCCGAAACGCCACAAAGACATCCAAAGCAGGTGCAAAGGGTGCCTTGGGCTGGCAGCCCCCGCGGAAACAGGGGTCTTCTGATTTCGCGTTCTCTTCCTGTTCTTCGCCGGCCATGAAATGTATAGGTTTTGACAGGAAAAACGCGATCGCATGTAAAGGCTTTCTTAGGCAGCGCTTCGGCTTCGCTGTGCTCAAGGCATCTGAGGTTCGGGCCATTTTCCTCGGCATGGAAGATGCAGGCCACGGAATCTGTCGCCGACTCTCCCGTCAAAGCATCCCAGCAAGGCGCATATCTGGCGGGAAACGAGATCCAGCAAGTCCTCGAACCGGGAACGATGCGCCCCTGGAAGCTGACTCTCGTAGGGCGGCCCTTGCCAGGTGGCCCTTTCGGCATCAGGTAGAGCATTTCCTCTGGGCGCAACTCCTGCGAGCACCGTGAGTCAGCCCGCGCGTTTCTTCCACTGTGTTACGCTATGTTACACTGTTACAGCATGCAGGTTCCGCCGTAGATCTGGAACCCGTATGACTATGATTCCGCGAACGACCATCCCTGCAGTCACCCACTGGTGGTTCTCAGGTTGTCAGATGAGCTCCTGCAGTGCTCCTAAGGACCTATGCTGCCAAGTAGTTACTGTCACATGCTCCGTTCCAGCCTCGTCATTATTGCCGTCCCACCATCCATCCTGCATGGTTGTTACAATGCTTGCGTGAGAGCATAAAAATAAGGAAACGACCTGTTGCACACGAAGTGCATTCAAAGCAGGAGGCAACCCGTGTCATGAGTCATTCACTGAAACCTGCAGGGAGGCTCCCCCTGCTTGGGTCCTCAACCTCTTTCGTGTATCCAACCGCATGCTGACGATGTATTGCGACTAGGACGGCGACGATGAATTACTATCAGATACTATCATCACCAAATCGGGAGGGTGGACGTGCTAATTGCCATAGCTGGCAGTGACTACAGCAGTGGCCTTGCTCACTTCTTCACTCAACAGATGCGTGCAGCATTGAGCTTTCCGGCTTCAACAACTTTGCGACCTTCTCGAAAACCATTTTGCACATATGAAGCTACTTAAGCCAGCATGGACGGTGTTCTGCGTCTACTGATGCTCAAAACGAGCCGGCCATGATCCGGCACAGTGACTCGTCAAATCTGAAACAACACTTAACTAGCATGAACAACTCCCGACAACCAACTCGTCAACGAGCCAAGCTCGTTCAAGCGTTTCAGTTGGTCGCTCGATATGAATTGCTTTAATGCTTCGTGGCGACTGCGACCCCCCTTTGCAGGCAGCAGGAAAGAGCTGAGTTGAACAAGTACCAATGCACACAGGGTCCTGCTGCTTCTGAATCTTCTCGAGCAGGTCGAAGGACAACCCTGCCTTCTTGGCCTCTGTTGAAATCCACTGCAGCTCTCGCTCCCTCTGAGATGCATCTGCGATGTCGGGCACGCAGTACCACCGCTTGAAGATTGAAAGGCGGATGTTGCCGTCCTGGTTCCATTCTGTCAAGCCGATCTCTTGCCCTTTCTGCTCGGCGATCTCCGGCAGACACCTTGCGAGCTCTTCCTCCGATTCCAGATCCACGCGCTGATCCACAGCCCAAGCAACAAGCGGGCTCTGCGGGTCGAACCTGACGGGGATCTTCCAACGGTTGATGATGGGGCCAATTTGTTTCGAGACGGCACAGCAGGACACGAGCCAGTCCACCCTCTGCACAAACGGTTCATCGCAAGCTCGCAGCCGTTCATCTTTCTTCCCGGCCAATGCAGATTCAACGATGGCTCCGCGGTCGAGCAAGAGCTGCGCCGACTTCGCCGACGGTCGCACCTTCAAAGCCAACCCTAGGCAGAAGGCACGACACAATGATGATGTGGAGCTCTGGTCCGCTAAGGCAAGGGACTTCAGGTGGAAGGACCAGGCACGGGCATGCAGGCCCTCCTTGATGTCGGTGGCAAGGAATTTCTGGTAGGCAACTTCAACGGCGCTCTCCTGGCAGGGTGGTGGGCCTGGTGGGCACTAAGCCGCCTGGCTGGCCTTCACGCTTCTTGGCTCAGCCCTCGCATGAACCTACACAGAACCAACCCAAGTGAAGTTTGCAGCAGGTCTGGTGACGGCCCATATTCAATCGGTCGCGAAAGCCTGATCTGGCTCTCTGCAACGAAAAGGACTGCGACAGGGGCTTTAGGACATCAGCAAAGCTTTCTCTAGCGTCTGTCCTCGGAGGGCTTCTTGCCTGAGCACCGACATGATGGCATGATCAGGCAATCAAGTTAATCAGAGCTACACAAAGACAACCCAAGAGTCACTGGAAGCATTGAATTTGCACTTGGCCGGTACTATCAACTCCTGTCTCCCTCTTGGCATTTCATCTCCGCGTCGTCTGACTGAGATCACAACACACCCAACATCACCCAGCTGAATTTGTCAGCCAAAGCGCTAATCTCCTCCTTCAAGTCTGCGA